AAATCACCTAAATATCCATCTTCCTTGATAATTAACTTCATTTTCAATTTCTTTTTACTCATATTTTAAATATCCATTCGTATTATAACACGTGTAACGATATTTTCAGTATCACACAAAATTAGAAGTGTTTATGCTATAATTTTGTCGATGAGGTAAATATCGACTACTACTAGGGTTGAAAGTCTGCTAAAAACAAGTATCATTCCATTTCAAAAGCAAAAGAACATGAGCTTCATGAAGAAAAAGTAAAGGAGAAAGAAAATGAGGAACAGTATAACGGATTTTGCGTACTCCGGGAGCTCACTTTACCGTTATATAATAGATTTTCAAACGCTCTCAAGCTCAAAGAAGAAAATCCACACCCACACACCTACCAACCTCCATTGTTAAAGAGCTAATCCAGTAAGGCCAAACCAAACCCACCCACCATTTTGGGCCTTCCTGCATAGGCTCTGCTCACCCTTCGTCGCTGTGGTCATCAAATTACGTCATTTTTCTCGCACCTCAAGTTCCGTCTTATGCGTTTCTCTGTTTATTTTTGTTCATTGACTCTCTTTTCTATTGTTCAATTCGAGAGAAAATAAGGAGTGCAAAATGAGAAAATAAGAGTATGGATAAAAGGGTGTTATATGAATTCAAATAACCTTGATCTACCACTTGGTACTACCGTCTAATGATATTCTTCTTCACTTGTAAGTGAAAGGTATTAGATTTGATTATCGTCAAAGACGAATTTGAACCACATTATTGCTAGCCTATCACGAGGCTAAGCCCATCCCTCTTCTTAGTGTATATAATATCGTTAATACATACATACATACATACACACACACACACACACACACACACACGCACACACACACACACATATATATATATATATATATATATAGACCTTGATCCAACATCCTAAGGTAGTGATTTGCAGATGTGGATTTATTGATGGGCAATTAAGGAAAATAAGAGTAATGCTATTCATACCATGTTTTTGTATCACATTTTCATATCACTTTAGGTGACATTTGATGCGGACAGCCACATCATTTGAATTAATCAGATTTTTAAATTTAGTTCATTATTTAATAAACTAATAATTAAGAAAAACTAGTTAATCAAATGATGATTGTGGTATACGAGGAGTATTTCTCCTTCCTTTCCTTGGGTTTTGCAAATTTTTCAAATGATGTGGTTGTCCACATCAGATGCCACCTAAGGTGGTATAGAAATGTAAAATAAAAATATGGTATGAATAACATTATAAAGTTGTTAACCTAATGTTTTCTTGGAAAGTGCCCAAGGAAAGTGATTGAAAAGTGCCAAGATATTTTTGTTTCTTTAACAACTATAGCCACTCAGTAATACAGTATAGTGATATTTTTCTTCGCTTGTAAATGTGAGGTCTTATGTTCGATTCTCGTCAAAAGCGTATTTGAACCATATTATTGCTAGCCCATTCTAAGGCTTAGCTCACTGCTCCACCAGTCCCTTAGTATAGATAATATCGTTTGTTCAAAAAAAAAAAAAAACAACTATAGTGCCTTATGATGTAGAAAAGAAGGGGGAAGGAAAACGTGATTTTGATCGATGACCGTCTTGCAAAAATGGATTTGGCATGAAAGTTTGGTTAATGTGCAGAAAGTAAGCCCGCATTGATGCTTAATTATGCTACTGGTCGTGCAAAAATGGATTTGGCATGAAATCTTGGTTAATCTGCAGAAAGTAAGCCTACATTTATGCTTAATTATGCTACTGATTGAAGTCTTCTTGAGGAAGTAACTACGTGGTGATATTAATCACGTTATAATTTGTGGATTGTACATTTTTTTATAAGGAAATTGGGTATAGTACTGTATATAGATATATACCTACATAATAACACGAATGGATAAGTAACATCATGTGACGATGAGGCTACACAAAAAATTCAACCAAACAATCCACAAAAATTTAAACCAGACGAAAATTAGTTGATACGGCCATTGGTAGTGTATGATTGTGTTCAACACTTTCTTCATTTGGGTTTGATTGTACCTTAGCTCCATGATTCTTGCTTGAAAGTTTACAAGATATATAAAGAAACATGCATTTATTCAATCTTAAGATATGCAAATAAGAACTAGGGTTTCAAATAAATAGGGCATTTGCCTTCAACAACAAAGCACACACAACAAAACTTCTACCACAAACATACAAAAATCAAACGAAGTAATCTTCTGCAACGAATCAAAACCACCACTGAAAGGAAACCGAAATGGGACGTTCAACACAACAAGAAAGATACAATCTTTAGTGATAATGCTGGCTGAAATTCAAAGATGAGAGAGCTTAATTACTAATTAGTACCACCAAGAACGCCCTTCAGTTTCTTGATCTGAGCAACGTCAAGGAAAGTAGTCTGCGCTATCAGTTCCGTTGGTAAATCATTTTTAAACAGCGCAAAGTCCAGAATCTGCAGCCCTGGGCTTGGACTACTGAAGCTAACAAATGCAAGGGCCGTAGTCTCACCTCCATTCACTTGGAAGTGCAGTAACCCCTGAGGGAAAACCATAATGTCTCCCTTCTCAAGAGTTTGTAGATAAACTGTGTTAGCTGAGGAAACAAAGCCGGCGCAGATGGTCCCTTCGATGACAATTAGGACTTCCGAACCTCCAGGGTGTGTGTGAAATGGGATCACTCCACCAACAGCCAGGTCTAGACGCGCGAGTGAAATGCCAAGGCCAGTTGACACCAGGGAACTGAGCAGCAAATGCAGGGGTGACTGCAGCCTTGATGATGTTTGTAGTGTTGCCAGCAACGCCTAGGCCCGAGAAAACAAAGTCGTCTACTTTAACTGTTGCAGGGCTTTTGCAAGAGTAGCCTGCAGGGCCGTCAGGAGCTGTGAGGTCTGCAACGCAGAAGTCCTGCACAGGCTGCATTGGAGTAGGAGAGGAGGAGAAAAAATGTGAACAAGATAGGGAATATCATCGTTACGTAGCACAAAAATTGTGTGATTGCTAAAGCTGTTTTTGAGATATGCTTCATGATAATTGGGAACATATATATAGAGGGATATGAAAATATCTTGAGCTCATTGCAATTGGTTGTTAGGAATATGCCCATTAGGGTTCACATGTATTGTATTTCGAAACTATACGATGGGGGCAAAGGACAAATTTCTAGCTGTGAAGCATGTGAGTGATATTTTCATCAGATGACAAGAAGAAGCCTCTTTTTGTTTTAACAATGCAGTAACAGCAGAAAGATGATATGCAGAAAAACTACTGACTTACTGTTAGTCGAGTTCCCAAATATTTCGTCATTCGACTAAAATCCCATCTATTAGTACTATAAAATATGATGTTCCACACGCCACTTAATACTATGGTCTAGTAGTATTCCTCTTCACTTATAAGTGATAGGTCTTAGATTCGATTCTTTCCAAATGTGACTTTGAGCCACTTTACTGCTAGCTCATTGCGAGGCTAAGCTCAACCCTCTCCCCCTTAGTGTAGATAATATCGTTTGTCTAAAAAAAAAAATTGTGTTCCACACATAATGCAAAACTAGTAAGCTCTTTTCAGTCTATTATATATAATTAATTATCAACTATAAATTATTTAACATATTTTGTAACTGTTTTACTAAAACAATCAATACATTAACGAGATATAGACGTATTTCATGTTTTGCGAACTTAGTTATCTACTTAGAGGGTCCAAGATTGTGTCCTAAGATTTGAAGTCCATCAAGAGAATTCGAAAATGGTGAGCAGATTGTGGTCCTTGAGATATGGTTAGAAGACATTTTTACAGACAAAAAGGCGTCACGGGAATGGGAATTCTGTGGATATCCGAAACTCCCCTTCTTGCAGGGTTCTTGGATTTCATTACTTATGGTCAAAAGTCTTTCCCAGTTCTGTGTCGTTGTGTGTATCTTAACTGTAAGATTCTTCTCCCTTCACCTTAATCATTACTTCATGGATCCAACACCACATCTGATACAGATGCAGAAGTGCACACATCAACAACAACCGCACATTAAACGGACACACTAGAAAGGGATAAAACGAAAGGAATCCTTGCCTCTCAAAGAGTAAAATTCAATAATAATATTCCAAAAGTCTCCTAAATCCTAAATTACATTGTGCTTAAATAGAAAAAAATAACCTACAGTCTTAACATGAAATAAAATATAAATAACGAAAATACTTAATTGCCTTGTTTAATTAAGTAATATGAAAAATAAAATAAAATACCTAATTTATTACAAATTGAGAAATAATCTCTTGATTTGCGCTGCATCAACATCGCTTCTGCATGAATATGAACCAATCTACAGTAAACTATGGATTAAAAATAACAATAATATCAGAGAATATGGATAATGACCTGGTTTTTAGCAGGGTTTTCGGTATTGCCCTTGGGCACTCGATGAACTTCCTGCACTACAAATTCATGTGCCTCATGTTTGAGGTTCCTTGCTATTTTTTTTATATTGTGAATTTTCAACAACGCTGCCATTATTCATAATTTCATAATATGTTTGATATTTACATATGTTAGAGGGCTTCTTGCCGATCCGAATAATCATATATAGTATACTACCTGTCTTAACCTTAACCCTAAGCACAATAAAGTAGCCTCAAGGATCAAAGAGCTTAGTATGAAACGCTAAGGTGAAGAGGGCTTTTTTTATAGAGAGAGTGAAGGGGGCGGAGCTTGAGTCTTCTAAGCCGTAGGAATAGGGAACGAATCCATCCTGTGTAATGAGAACTCCCCTTCGTCTCCTTAAACGTAAAGGAAGTTCACGACTGGGTAGGAGTTTATGGTAGGTGCGAATCCCTGAAACTTTCATTGAAAGAAGTCGATCATGAGATGGAGGTGGAGTTATATATATGAGTTATCCAAAATCAGAAGCATTGCGATACTCGTGCAATTTGCAGCGGATAAGGTACACTAGTGTTCTTATTTCTTGATTGAAAATTAAGCAGGTTACCTCAATAAAATAGAAATTATATAAAAAGAACGAATATCGATCAGAGGATGCATTGCCTTCAATACAATTGTTGCTACATTGGTCAGACGGAAGCATAGAATAATACTTCTACAAGCATACAACAATAGAGCACTCTTTTATTCTCAATCACAACAAGAAAACAAAAAGACATGGAATAACCCCCTGAAGACGGGGGATGGAAAGGAGACAATCTAATTAGTACCACCAAGAACACCCTTAAGCTTCTTTATCTGAGCAACATCGAGGAAAGTGGTCTGCGCTATCAATTCAGTAGGTAAGTCGTTTTGGAACAGTGCAAAGTCCAGAATCTGCAGACCGGGGCTTGGACTACTGAAGCTAACGTATGCAAGGGATGGAGCCTTTATCTCCATTCACTTGGAAGTGCAATAGGCCTTGAGGGAACACCATAATGTCACCCTTCTTAAGAGTTTTCAGATAAACCGTGTTAGCTGAGGAAACAAACCCAGCAATTATTGTTCCTTGCGCAACAAGTAGGACTTCAGAAGCCCCAGGGTGTGTGTGGAATGGGATAACTCCACCCGCATCTAGGTCTAGGCGTGCAAGTGAAATGCCGAGGCCATTCACACCAGGAAATTGAGCAGCAAATGCAGGGGTGACTGCAGCTTTGATGATATTTGTGGTGTTGCCGGCAATGCCTAGGCCTGAGTACACGAAATCATCTACCGTAACTTTTGCTGGCTTTTTACAAGAGTAGCCTGCAGGGCCCTCCGGAGCTTTGTAGTCTGCAACGCAGAAGTCTTGCACAGAAGCAAAGGAGGAGGAGAGGAGGAGAGCAAATGTAAAGAAGATAGGGAAAATCATCTTCTCCAAGCGAATGGTATTTTTTCAGTTTTAGCCTTTTTTCGGGTGTTTCTTGATGAGGAAATTAGGACTCTATATAGTGGGATAAAGTGAATATGATCTTGTGCCGTTTGCAATTTGTTATTTGGAATATGCCCACGATAGTGATATTATACGTATATACGTCTACGAACAAAGCAAACGACAGACTTCAAACTGTGATGCATGTGGTTAAAGATATTTTCTTCACATAACAACAAGAAGCATCTTTTCGCTTTTGAAAAATGCAAAAACATAAAGACATCATGTACACAAAAACTACCGACCCACAGTTAACTCATACTGTTATTTTTGAGCTCCTAAATCTTTTGTAGTTCAATTAACAATCCCTTGTAGTATTATAAGATTTTTTTTTTTTTTTCAGTGTTCCACTAAACGAATATCAGATTTCCCGACTGTGTTCTCTAGCTCTATATCAATCAAGCAGAAGCAGTACAGCCAACTGCATTGCAGATTGGCAACCAAATTGAGGTACTCAAAGACTCTAGCTTGCTCCTCCAGCTGATATGCAAGGAATTAATTTCATCCGAAATGTTTCTACATCAAACTTTGCAATTGTGACCTAAGAATCCAAGGTTGAAATTAACGAGGAGAGTCCGAAAATGGTGAAAGATTGTGGTCCTTGAGTCATGCATGGGGAGGCATAAGAAGACATTTTGACATGCTAAAAGGGGGCAGGAAATGGGAAAATGTGTGGATATCAGAAATTCCCCTTGTCGCAGCGTAATTGGATTTCACTATTTGGAATTCTGAAAAGTCTCTTCAAATTCTATCTCCATGTATATATAGTAACTTAATATTTTTCAATATTTCACCTTATCATTACAATATCAGTCAATGCAGACTAACTATAAATATTGCAGATTGCATATATATCATATTAATCTCAAAGTAAACTCTAGCACTTGGGTGTCACCAGGAGTATATCCTTGTGTGAGTATAAACCCTAGCAGTGGTATACTCACACAAAGAAACATATGCTCCCAGTGACATATAGAATCCATCCTATGTTTAAGAATCGAGATTCGAGACCCAAGTAGTAGTTATAGGTGCACTGCTGGTGCAGTCCTAAAATTGTATTTTACGGTTTGTGGTATAGCAGCATTCATCAAGATAAGGTTGTGAGCTTATGGCTAAGGTTATCATCAGAAGGGTGGTAAGCCAGCCATCCTTCAGTTTCAGCCAAAGAGACAAAATCTCCGTACATAAATTTTGTTTGCAAAGTTGTCCAAAACACTAATATATTCCCATTGATTGTGGGTTCAATGGTCATTTTCTCTTCAGAGAAGGTTGGTGCCTCATGTGATATTGATGAATATCTAATCTCGTCTAATTCATCTCTATTTCCATTAAAAAAATGAAAAACTTCCCATTGATTATACACACAAAAATATTAACTAAATATTGTATTACAAAATTATTAATGTACTATTTCACTGTTGGATTTTGTTTAAATGAACTTCAATGAACGATATTTCAGGAAGAAAAGAATCTGCAGAAATTAATTGCATACGTAAAAGAACAAAGAGAGGTCCAGTAGAGTGATTAGTGCAACCAAATTAAATTAAATAATGTAACAAAGAATGAGAAAATACGCAAAATAAAAATGAACAGGACTGACCTAAAATTGAATAGCGGCATCCACAGAAAACCCCTATGCATAAAAGAAAATCTGAGGAAAAGTTAAACAATCAGGATACAATTAACCAGACAAGCATCTCAAATCAGGGCATATTAATTGAGTGTTGTACTTTTATTAGTATATATATATGGAAAAGATTACTCTTCATTTAATCCAAGGCTCAAGTTGTTTTAGATAGAGAGACCTCAGTTACTCATTTCATTAATCAGGTAATCTAATCCTGCCAGTAGCTGCCGGTTTACGCTTAAGTTCGTTGAGATTGTGTTACCTTCATATTATATAGGCGTGTGTTATCCACACAAGTCTTTTTACTTCTTACACACACTTTGTTGATTTCTATCATTTCATTTTTTTAATTCATCCGATCTGACGGAGGAAAATTAAAAAGATGTATGAGAAGTAAAAAAGGATGTGTGGATATCACACCCCCTATATATACTGTTATCCACTAAATATCAAAGTTTTTAGGCTCTGTTTTTTGATAAATTTGCTGCAAACTTATGCCTAGTTAAGTTGACTTGAGCAATGTGCTCCTACCTCTACATTCAATTTCGAATCCCCGTCCTATAGTTTAGAATAGGGTGTTAATTTTTTTATTCGACATCTAATATTGTAGGCATGCTCACTTATAACAATGTCAATTTCATCAACGTCAACTTAGTTGTAGACTTCAGCTCTAATCATGACCATCTCATCGTCTATATCTGATTAGAATGAAATATTATCTTTTTCGATTATTCGATTTTTTTTTTTTTTTTTTTTACAGGATCTTTTGCTGCATAATTAGTGTAGACACGTTGATCAACGGGCCGTCGGTGATCAAAAGCGATGGTACCATTGCATTGGGTTGCAATCGTTCTCTCCTTTGTAGCAACTATTCAAAACTATGCAGGCCATATGGAAGCATCAGCTGACATAGGCGTTTGCTATGGAATGCTAGGGAGTGACCTGCCTTCTGCACCAGAAGTGATTAGCCTCTACAAACAATACGGGATTGAAAAAATGAGGCTTTTCGAACCTAACACCGCAGCACTCCAAGCGCTGAAAGGAAGCAACATCAATATCACCCTGGACATTCGAAACCAAGACTTAGCAGATTTGGCAGCAAGTCAAGACGCCGTGAACTCATGGTTTAATACCAATGTAGAACCCTACCTAAATGACGTTAACTTCAACTTCATTGCTGTTGGTAATGAGGTTATTCCTGGTTCCTTGGGAGGGTATGTCTTGCCTGTAATGAATTATCTACAAAAAATCCTCGACGATAAAAACTTACACGGTATTAAGGTGACAACCGTTTTGCCCGGAAATGCCTTACAATCTTCCTATCCGCCTTCGAGTGGTGCTTTCACATCAGAAGCAAGCAGTGTTATGAGTGGCATTCTTTCTTTTTTATCCGCGAAAGGGTCACCCCTTATGATCAATGTGTATCCTTACTTCGCCTATGCATCAGACCCTACGAATGTACGCTTGGACTACGCCCAATTTACTGCAACAAGCCCCGTGGTTCGGGACGGGTCGTTGAGCTATTACAACCTGTTTGATGCCATGGTTGATGCTTTTTTTGCGGCAATGGAGAAAGCCGGAGGGGGTGATGTCGGTGTTGTGGTGTCAGAAAGTGGATGGCCTTCAGACGGGAATGGAAATTTCACCACTCCAAACCTTGCAGGGACATATAACAGGCATTTTGTGAAACACATAACATCGAAAGTAGGGACTCCAAAAAAACGTGGTGCTTACATTGAAGGGTACATTTTTGCCATGTTCAACGAGAATCGGAAACCTAGTGGCGTGGAGCAACACTGGGGACTTTTTTATCCTAACAAGCAACCTGTTTATCCTGTATTTTAAAGACAAACCTTCAAGAAAACTTATGCATCCATCGTGAAATTAATAAAAAGTCTCCATGAACTTGAAATTTGTGTCTTAAATATTTTTCTAAGATGAATAATTCAACTCGAGTGCGAAGGTGGAAGTGCATTGCTCTACTCAACTAGTATCTACTATCAGACTAATTAACCACATCTAGGCATTAAACTCATTACAAATATATATTGTTCTGGTCAATTTTTTTTAGAGCTACTATGATATTCATTGATATAGCAAATGAAGAAGTAAAAAGTGGGATATGGTGTATTTATTCGAACTTGAATAAATATTTTATACGAAACTTCATTCTAATCTTTAAAAATGATGACTTTTAGACTAAAACGATATGTAAGATTAAAATTTAACTTTAATCCCTTAATACAACAAACACCTCATTTATTGATTACATTTTGAATAAACATTTAGGCTAAATGACGACTTGCAATATCAACATGAATGGACTTATTTTTATGGGCTTTTTCACCAAACAAGAAGGGTCCAAAACGAAAATCACTAAATAAGGTTATTACTTAATAGACCTTTCCTTTTTGGACTTAACTGACTGCTAAATTAGCATTGGAGTAACCAACTAGCTATATATATGTATATATATATTAATTGTAAACAAACACTTATTTATATGATATATAATAAATTTTCTTAAATTCGCCTAGTTTGCCTAGGCGGTGCCCAAGCCTCGCCTAGGCACTAAGCTCCAGCTCACTACCTGACTTGCGCCTAATGTCTTTTAAAACTCGTATTCCTGCTGCAAATTGCGACTTTAAGGATTTAGTCCTTGCTAGGTCAACTCTCGCAATTATAGTCTCCTCTCAATGGGATGAAAAATATTCAGAAATATTCTCAGCTATTTAGTTGCCCTCAGTGATCAGAAAGTGCTGCACTGGATTGCACTCATTCTATCCTTTACAGCAACAATCCACAACCATATAGGCCTCATCGAAGTTTCACCCGACACAGGTGCTTTCTATGGAATGCAGTGACCTGCCTTCTGAAACACAAGTAGTTAATCTCTATAAAATATATGGTGTCGGGAAGATGAGGCTCTTTGAACCCAACCCCTCAGCAGTCCAGGCACTGAGAGGGAAACAAACTGATGTCACGCCAGGCATTCATAATCAATGTCACTAAATGCTTCCACGACCCAGAAGCGCTATTCAGTTTTTGCCAAAAATAGTCAAAAGAGTATTCTTTCTTCACTTTTTAGCGTTGTCAGAAGTATTCCTAAACAAAAGCTAAATCATCTCAAAATCATGTAAACAACCAAATAACCTTATATTATTTGAACCAAATAATTCAAAATCCAAATGGTACAAGTAAAAATTGCAAAACATTGAAATCAAAGACGGGAGAGGGGTTCCACTTTCCCGTTTGATTTGTTCAGAAAAGGGTAGTCAGTGTACCCAACAACAGGATCTTGTGTGTAGAAGGTCTTCCTGTTATACTTGGTCAAGGGTGCATTAAGCTTAAATCTCAGGACCAAATCAGGGTTTGAAATAAAAAGGCGACCGTAGGACACCAAATCAGCATCCCCAGAAGCCACAGCTTGCATTCCAAGCTCTCGAGTGAACCCTCCACTAGCAATAAATGTACCGTGATATGCTTTCCTCAAGGTCCTCATAAACACAGCTTCCTCTTCATCACTGCCAGGTTTTCCAGCTTCCGCTTGACCATAAGCTGCGTAACGAGGCTGAGTTACATGAAGATAGGTCAGTTTTGAGCCCCAGTTTTGTTGAAGCTTGTTGAGCCTTTCAATCACTGCCAGACCTAGGATAAGTGGATCAGAGTCAATGGCATCCATGTGATCAATAGCCGGTGAAATTCTGACACCAACTCTATCAGCACCTATTGCTCCAACCACTGCTTGAACTATCTGAATCAAGAACTTGCACCGGTTTTCAACCGATCCACCATACTCATCCGTTCGATCATTGATCCCATCTTTCAAAAATTGGTCAATGAGATAGCCATGTGCCCCATGAATCTCAATTCCATCGAAACCTAAGCAACAAGAAAATTGATCATAAGACCTCAAAGCTATACGAAAAGGAAACATAGAAATGAAAAATGGCGATAGAAACCAACCTGCACGAATGGCATTCAAGGCAGCCTGACGATATTGCTCCACAACTTGGGGAATTTCATGGGTTTCAAGGGCTCGAGGCGTAGGGTAAGGACCATGAGAGCCATCCGGCAAAAGAATTCTCCACCTCTTTGAAATGGGATTGTTGGTTGATGATATTGGTGCTCCCCCACGGGGTTGATAAACTAAATCATTAATCAAATTACAAGTAAAACCAATCAGTTGGCTGCTCCAAACCTTAAGCCAAAATCTACTTTAAGTCTTTAACAATTAAGAGAATGTGAAGTTTACCTTCATGAGATGAACGACCGACGTGCCAAAGTTGACAGAAAATAATGGCGCCTTTGGCGTGAACTGCGTCCACCACCTTCTTCCATGCCTCCACCTGTTCGTCGTTGTAAATCCCAGGAACATGCGGAAACCTGCTTCCACATTAACAATTCAGTATCGTTAAGACACCATTTGGAGAAGAAATATCAAAGAACGAATGGATCCGAAATAACACGATGAACTGTATGTAAAATAAAATTGAAGTAACTTTATGCGAAGAATCGTTTGAAATTCCTCTGTTTTCCACCTTCGTTTGTCATTCAAACCGTCGCAAACACAGATAGTAATAATCTAGAAAACAATTTAACCTTGTAATATATCTAAATCCCCAAATTTGAAATCCAAGGACACAAATGGGCACTAACATTTAACCGTCTGACATTTTACGTTATTAGGTTGTGAATCAAAATTGCATATTAAACAAGTCCACTCATAGACGAAACAAATCAAGGATTATACTAGACATTGTCTTACCTATTGTATCGAGTACTATAGAAAACTAGTACAGTCAATTTTGACAAACTAATTCTACTTCTAGTTCTCTTTCGGATTTAGATCCTCCCGGAAGCCCAAGAAAAGCATACCAACACGTAGGCAGTTAGATTTTCATGCAACGATTATAATTATTATAATTTTAAAAAAAGTTACTGTCGAAGGATCCTCTCCCTTGAGCTCGGAGAGGATCCAAATCCCTTAAACGCCACTCAAGACGCATAATGCGGGCCCCAACCAATGACAAACAAGGAGAAATTACAAAATTACCCGGCGCCAGTGTCGGAGATTATAGTGCCTTCGCTGATGAGAAAGCCGCCGACAGTTGACCTTTGAGAGTAGTACTCAGCCAGCGCCGGTTGCGGCACTCCGTTCAACGCCCGGCACCTCGTCATCGGCGCCAGTACAACCCTGCAAAATAGGGCAAACCCGTCAAAACACATCCTAAACTAAACAATAGATTGACAAATATGCCCTCGCGGATTTCCAAAGAAATCGGAACCTCCGACCAACTGTGAACGGTCCTGAAAAAGGGAGCAGCAAACTTGATGCAGCAGCGAGGCACTGGATCATCAAGAACAAGGAGGATGGACTGACCTGTGAGAGAGATTGAACTTCCCCATCTTGTACGGAGAAAACAGAGTGGTGGGCCCTCCCTGCGACGACGCCTCCGCCATTTTTGCCGATCTCAGATCGAACGGTTAAAATCCAAGGACGAGAAATGAAGCAAATAAAAATTACAATAAGTAGAAGAAAAGAAGGGAACTTTATAATCAGGGAATGTCGGTGATCCGACGGCTGTGGACGCGTGGTTCCTGAGGCGACGGCGTTGCGATGATGGTGGACTCTTTGATTACTGCTGCTCCTCGTTTGTGGGTTTTAATGGTGGTGGACGGTCATCGTTGGTGGGACCCACAACGGAGTGAATCATTGGCCTTTACAAATGGCAATGAAATTCACGTGGGGATTATTGTACTTCCCGAATTAAACGTTGGTGTTGTAAATGAATTATTAAGAGTGACTTTGTAAAGTAAAAGTATTAGTTTTTGTTAAAGTAAACAGTATCATAAGTGTTTTGTTAAAATTTTCTAGTTTTTGCAGATTTGGGTTGAGTTCTATTCGACACGTTAAGTCAACAAAGCATTCAACCTCAACACGTTAAGCTCATAAATCCAAACCTTCAGTTAAGGGATCATTCATTTCAACTGTTAATACATGTTCACATAAATTTATCGTTTCACACTTTCACTTTAACGAACACCAATAAGTTTAATAGAGAAAAAACAATGGGGAAAAACATCCGGTTGGATTACCCTCTTTCTCCATATGGGATGATGGTGATCGACGTGTGGAAATGGAGGGATCGACCTGTGGAAATGGAGGGAGGGGCCCGAGGGGGAAAATGCATGGAGAAGCTGCAGAGTTGAATGAGGTGCAAAAAGCCAAAAAGGGTCTCTTCCTCAGCTGGTGATTTACGATTTTGTGAGTGAGACCCGAACCAAACCAAACTGAATCATTATTAATTGGTTATTAACGAGATGAATCGTTATTAACGTGACCCGTTAAGTATTTATCCAAATATTGATTTTAGCGAGTGAATTGGATCGGGTTAAAGAGTTGTGTACAAAATGTCATCTCTAAGAGTAACTCCATCGTAACTTATTGCCTTGGGGATAGGCAACACAATCCACTATTCTCCCCTCCTCAAAACACGTTGGCCCACTCAGGCAATTGGACTCAAGGCAAGCTCGATGGAGAATTCAAACAATAATCATCTAGTGCAACATCCTGCTTATGTGACGTGAAACTGACGTCATCATAACGTCAACCACAATTTAAATTATTAAAAATTATAGAAATTATTAAAAATTATAAAAATGATAAATATAAAAAAAACTAATTAAAAATATACAAAAATTATAAGTTTTCTATAAATATGTAACTATGTTCTTTCATTTTACACTACATTTTAATATTTTCGAATCCTTCCAAGTAATCTTTTATTATTATTCAAAATAAAAAATAAAGTTATCTTTTATTATTTTATAAAATAAAAATAATAATATTTTAATATGAATTGTTTGGACTATTCAATTTAAGATGCAATTGAACAATTACTATTTATTTAAGAGAATTAAGTTGCCTAAGTAGCCTTAAACACTGAAGTACTCTGATAGACTGTTACTTAAAGACGTGTTTGACCGTCAAGTTCACTGGACTCTGTTCTTGTTTGTTAGCGATTTTGTGGTCGGAAATGGGTAAGATTTTGATTTGGGTTTGAGAAATGTGATTGAATTAGGCCCAATTTGTACGACATTCTAGTAGGCCCACTTTGTCGATTTGGTCAATCTTTGACCTATGAGA